AGTTGTTGAATTATCCATGTAGTGGCTGCCCCTGTGATGTCCAAAATTCTGTTGAAAAATGGGGATGAACTTTGACAGTAATTAGACCATGATTTTGCTTAATTCATGTAGAAAATTAGTTTATTTTGGCTGCTGTGATTTTTGGAGAAAATCTCGTGAATTAGCCATTGTTTTGCCCATTTATGGAAGTGCAGTTACTGTTCATGGCGTGATTACTGTTCATGGGTACTGTTCATATATACTATTCACGCACTAATTGCCAACAATTAACGGGGATTTAAATGTTTAGTTTGTAATATAAGAACAGATTTACAGATGTCTGGTCATGTGAAGACTGATAGAAATAGCATCGTGATTAAGGGTAGTCTTAATGATGATTTCACTTTGAATTTGTGGTAGTACGGTATTAATTTTGGAATGTTTTGGCTAGGTTCTCGATTATTCTACCATCCTAGCACTTGGGTTAAGCCTTCCGTTCTGTCCGATTTAAGGTAAGTAAATTTATGGTAATACCCATACAATTTTTTTTTGACTTGTTTTTGAAGTGGTTGCGGGACTAAACCCGTTTTATATAAAAGTAAGTATGATTGATTTGAAGCGAAATTTTTATGCTTTTATTAAATTGAGCATGCCTACTTGAAATTTAATTGATTGTCCTTATGATTTGAAAGTGATTGGTGAATTATGATTTTTCTGTTAACTTCTGCTTATTTTGTCTCTGATATGGTCATATTATTATTGTGCCCGCTAGTGGGAGGTTTATAAACGCTAGCACATGTCGACATGTTATTGATAGAACCGGTTCGTTCGAGTGACCCTGCTAGTGAGGGTTATACACCAGCAAATAGTGTGCTTGCCAGTGGGAGGTTTATAACACTGGTCGTGAGCTATAGAGGAGACGTCTATTTTGTTCCTGTACTGTATCTGTTTTTCATGATTACACTTGTTGGCATGCTATAAGTTTAATTAAGGGCACTCCATATTTTACTTACTGAGTTATCTCATAGTCTTTCTTTGTCCACCATTTTAGGAAGCGAAGTCAAGGACAGGGAAAAACGAGGGGAGTGACGAGTTAGAAGGCTAGCCATCTTGTAAATTGAACATAGATTTTAGATGTAGTCCATGCTCTTATAAACTAGATTTTAATTGGAGATTTTATGATATTAGAGAAATTTTATAATTTTATCTTTAGATTTTGTGGTATCAGATTATGGTATGATAAGTTCCGAGCCTTGTGCATTTGTGGGACCCTCTTACGAGTGCACGACGTTTGTTACACCTCGGATTTAGGTTCTGGGGCATGACATATATTTTCTATTTAATGTTAAAATTTTTTATAATATCTCATGCATTTAATAATGTTAAAAACTTCTCAATTTGACATAACCACACCAATTTAAGTTTGATTAGTTTGATTATCATATATTAATAAATTAGATTGGTTTAAAAATTTTATTAACTATTTAAATTAAATTTTTTAAAAAATATTAACATTCAAACCAAATTACACCATAAATACCCCTATAATTATCCATGTTTAATTAGTAGAAGGAAAAATTCCGCAATATTCCAAGGATTTGTATCTGAATCTTAAACTATAATTATTTTTTAAACAGACTAAACTTCTGAGTTAAGAGTTCTAAGATTTTCATTTATTTTTTATTTTTTATTTTTTTATGAGAGATAAAAAAATATATTAAATAATAAGAAATTATAACAAAATTTTTATCTCATGATATATAGTCAAAATCAAAATAACCTAAGGATAAAATTAGAAGTATAACCTACAATACTAATAACAGATTTAAATTATGCTAATGACAAAGATAGACAATTAAACAAAGATAGATAATTTTTTTTATTAATTTGTAAGATTATATACCTTATGGGATTAATTATCACCATTCGTTTAGAACTTTATCAAATTATTTTTGATAAAGCAATCCTTTTCAAAAGGTAAGTGCCAATCAGGTGATCCAATCCAAATTTGCTCGACCCAAGCCGTCTGCCAAGTCTAATTTATATAATTGATTTAATTATTGTGTTTACGGGTGTTCGTAAAGCTGATTAGTTTGGATTTTAACAAATTTTAAAATTAAATTAATTTAATCAGTTAATAAAAATTTTAAATTAATTTAATTCATTATTATATTATAATGAAATCAATTTAAACTTAGTTTAACAATGTTATCTGATGTTACTTTATAATTATAGTTGTTAAAAGTGTTATAATATATTGTTACAAAATTTTTGATAGTTATATTTAAAAAAACTACCTATAATAAAATTATTCAATTAGACATATTATTATTTAAAATTAAATTAATTAATAATTTAATATATAATGTACCAAAAAGATTTAGAAATTCTATTAAATTATTTGGAAATCCTATTAATTTTGAATAAAATAGCTCTTGTATTCCTTTAAAAAAAAAGTAGGAATGGATAATTTACAAACATATAAATTACAAAAAATTCTATAAATATGTGTAAAAAGTACTATATGTAGTATTGTCCAATGGAGCCTTAACTTAGATTAGATTAGACTAGTTTGATCAGATTGATTAGTTTTTAATATAATTTTAAATATATTTAATTAGATAAACAAAATTTTAATATCAAATTATATAAAATATAATTATAAAATACTTTAACATCATAAAAAAACAAAATGATAGTACCAAAAGGCTCCCAAAACATGTCAGCCCCAGTTAGCATAGAGAATTCTAGGAGCATGGTTTTTGTTTGTAGAAGGAACAATTTAAAGTTGCACTGCTTTTTGATTAAATAAATTAAGTTATATTGTACAATTATAAAACAAAAATAAAATGAGAATAAGACAATCAATACAATTAATATTATAGTACAATAATTAAAAATAAAAAAACTACAAAAAGAAAAGAAAAATTCTAACTACAATTTGCATACAAAAATATTTTTTGTATACAAAATATAATTTATATATAATTTGTTAATTATATTTTTATTTTACCTAAAAATTTTTTTAAAAAATATATTTTTTCAAAAATTAAAAAATAAATTATTATATTATTTAATTAATTATTTTATAATTAGGAGAATCAATTAGTTTGAAAAGTAAAATCATAAATCAAATTAATTATAATATTAGTTTTAAAATTTTTTATTCAAACCAACTTAAATTAATATCAAATTTAGATTAGATTTTAATCAAATTAAGTCAATTTTTATCATATAGATCAGTTTGGATTAAAAATAAAGAGGCTTGTGTTGTTTTTTGGAAGTCGTTAAGAGAGATAGACAAGCAGGCCTTTCTAGCGGCCAAAGTTGATGAGATCATTGTGAAGCCTCTGGATCCTGAGAAGTTGGTTTCAATCGTGGTGGAGCTTGACGCCGCCGATGTCTAAAATAAATGACGACTATCGAATTAAGGCATTCATCAGAAGCTATCATGATCATATAATTTTATTAAAGAACAATGTAAGACAGGTCGTATTTCTAAAATTAATTTTTAAAGATTTATTTTAAAAAATTATATTTCAATTGATATATTTAAAAATAAATAATGAGGTTAAATATTTTATTTATATAGAGATCATATATATTAATTTAATATTTTTAATTCTTTGATAAAAAAATTTTATTTACTAATATATATTTAATTATGTTAAATTTTATGTAATTAACAAAGTGATTAGATTTATTAAAATAATTAAAAAATTGACTTATATGATTTATATAAATAAATTTTTAATCCATTAATTAGTTTTTAAAATA